TGATAGTTTAGATACTATGTGCCAGGGACTAAAGATATTACCTCATTTAACACATGTGGAGGGAAGTTTACTTATGCCTCTTTTATAGATGGGAAAAATGACTTGTTCAACAAAAGTCACATGAGCAGATAGTAGATTATGAAATATATTTTAAACAAAGTCTATTGAATCCATGCAATTTACAGTATAACCTGATGCTTTTTAGAACTTATCTGAATGTACAAAAGGAAAAATGGGCTAGGATGGTAAGGTGATCTATCAATGATTGTGTCTAAGTATAAAAATACTTTTTAAAAATTTATCTGTATTGTTGAAAGTATTACAGATGTCCCCATTCTCACTATTGCCCTCTTCAGTCTGCACCTGTCTTCCCACCCTAGACCTTCACCACACCAGGACATGAATACTTGTAATTTATTTTACTGTTACTTGTTTTTCCACCTGTAGTAGTTGCCCACATAACTGTCATATCTATCCTGAAACATGCTGAGGGATTTCAAACTGGATTGAAGAGAGTCAACTACATTTATATGGTTATGATCTTCCCAACATGCATTTACTGTTTGATGGCAACAATGGAACAAAAACCATCCAGCTAAAATTTTCTTATATAATGAGGTAAAACAATTTTTAGAGTTATAAATTTCTTTCCCATTCAACTTCCCATATGAAGAAAGTGTCACCATTCCTTCTCTTAGGACAGACAGTCTTTCTTATTCCTCAGCACTGTCCTTTGCCCGTTCTGTCTCCCCTCTCCTAGTGGAAAATTGAAGGAGGCATATAAAACCTACATAACTTTTATTTTTTTTCCCAATGCTAATTGTAGACAGAAGAGCCTGCATGGTTGAAAAATGTGGTATATTCTTTCATTATAATTTATTACTACTTTTATTGATATAATATTAGAGTTGACCTTTTGTTTCAAGATTATCACAAAGTTGGTTATTTAATATTAGTTTAATTCTTGTCTCAGTTATTAATTGACAGGATGTATTTATGGCAAATGTGGGAGAGATGGGATTAGAAATAACATGAAATAGCTAAGTCGGCATAATAGTTTAGAACTTATAAAGTTATTAGTTATACATAATAACATTCATTATTCAGTTATTATTCAACTCTAGGATACTATATTAATTTACAGAGTAGGCAGCTAAGGTTTAGAACAGTTTAAAAGTTTACAAAGGTCACAAAGCTGGGGTCTGGCAAAAACAGGTCTTTCAACCCCTAGTCAAAGCTTTTTTCCTATGTTGACAAGTTGTTTGAGCATATGCATTATTTTAGTTACTTATAGTTGAATGTGATGGAGTCAGTCATCCCTGGGTTTCCATCCTTGCTGCTACTTACTAGTTGTATACCATGAGAAAGTTGCTTAATATCTCAGAGTCTCAATTTTCTTACCAGTATATGTAAATTAGGTATGATAATTAATTATATACATCTCAGACTTATTCAAGATTAAAGATAACATAGGTATAGCTCTGAGCACCATGCATGGACGGTGAGAGTCAATCAATAGTAGTCATCATGGACATGAATGTTTAAGAGAAGAAAAGGAGGTGGTATATAGAGTCAATGAGTTTGTGACAGGCTAAAAGTGAGAAAAAAGCATAGGAAAACTGGAAAGAAATTATTGTAGTGAAGATGACTGTCATTTTAAAAGTATGCACTCATTGCAGCCACACAATAGGCTACAAAGTAGAATTTGGCCATACACATAGATACATCATTAGTCCCAATCACCAGTCCTAGGCTAATGTTGGTCACTGGCATATTTCTATTAGTATAAAATGAAATGATGAAAATATAGCAAATTTTCATAAAACTAAATTTATTCAGTATAAACACTTGCTCATTATTTTCACATATAATTTCAGCTTTTTTTTTTTTTTGGTTGTTAGAATGTTCTTTTGGGAAGTAATAGTGATAGTTGATTTTTTAATATCCTTATTAGACAAAATAAAAAGTTGGCACTAATATTTATTTTGAAATACCATAGTCTAGAAATCATTGAATCAGTTAATCTTCAAGATTTCTTATAGGTCTGGGAACCTAAATTCCTAGATATCAAAGGAATTTATCTATAAGGACCTTTCAGTAATACCAGGCAGTGAATATCCAAGCAGACTTCAATATATCTAGTTCCCAATAATTAATATTTTATACAGAGGATCAATTTTTGTTCCTTAGGAAATTACAATCTAAGACAGCAGAAATGCAAATTGTTGTCCGCCAACAGCACACAGAAAGTAGGATAGAAATATCAACCTAATATACAGATTAATAATGAGCTACTTACAGCATATAAGAAGGGGGTTAGATAGGAGGCAAGACAAAAATCATCTTAAGGGCAGTGGATGTTATTTGGAAGGAGTAGCCCTGTGAAGACCTATAACTAAACTAAATAATCAGGTCATCTTGGAGTCAACCAGGAATATCTGGAACTCCCTAAAAGTTATAGAATTGCTTTCTTTACCTTGATTTCCTGAGACTGGACATGACTAGAATTTCAATGGCTATACCAGAGAGATGGTTTTAATAAGGAATTAAGAAAAAAAGCATTTTGGTTTGTTGGCTTTTATTTTTATACTACATACATGCGCCGATGAAAACTTTAAATACTGGTTAAATAGGCCACCAAAAGATTACAGAATAGTTGGGCCAGTAAACAAAAATTGTGGTTAAAATTAACGATTAAGCAGATTCTGATTATACCTAAGTTCATCCTTAGTCACAGGAGTAGGTATTTTTGAAAGGTACATTAATATAGAGATCTAGTGTAGTGGGTGAAATTATGCTTTTTTCTTTTTTTTTCATCCTCACCTAAATATATGTTTTAAAAATGATTTTAGAGAGAGAGGATATGAGAAAGAGGGAGAGAAAGGAACATCGATGTGAGAGAGAAACATCAATTGGTTGCCTTCCCCCACACACTCTGAGTAGGGATTGAACCTGCAGGCTAGCTTTGTGCCCTGCCCTAACCAGGAATTGAACTTGCAATCTAGGTATGAGCCCTGACTAGGAATCAAACTAAGTGCCTGAATCTGAATAAAATTAGGCCTCTGTATAAAATATTAATTATTGGGAACTAGATACACTGAAGTCTCCTTGTATATTCTCTACCTGGTATTGCTTGAATGGTTCTTACAGATAAATTCTTTTGATATCTAGGAGTCTAGGTTCCCAGAAATCTTGAAGATGAACTGATTCAGTGATTTTAGTGAACCAAACCCACTACCAATTAACTGAGCCACCCAGCCAGGGCTGAAATGATTTCTTTATTTCATTCAAGTAGTCTTCCTTTAACTTCATTTTATGCAGTCCTACTTCCAGAAAAGGTCTTCATGGTACTTCCCAGTCTAACCCAACCTAACCTCTGGACTTCCTGGTTGCTTGGTTTAGTAAAAGCTTCTCAGGAAACCTCATTTGAAGGCTATCTATGTTAGCTCTTTCCAGATTCCTTTATCCCATTGGTGGGGAGAAAAAGGGAGACAGGTTGCAATTTCAGTGTTTGTGGGTTCTGAGACTACCCTTGGGGAAAATCTTCGATTTGCATTTTAGAGTTTTGCCTGATTGATATCAGAAGTCCTTGGGATACTCATGTATATCTCTGCTGCACAAAGTTGTTCTTCTGTCAAGTAGAAGGCCCATTTTGTTCCAGAAATAAGCCAAAAGTGGGGACTAATGGTCTGACTGCCCAAACTGGGCCTGGCTTTTCTTCTGCACTTTGATTTGAGATATAAGGTTGGAGCTGAGAGGTGCTGTGGGTCTCCACTTGAGGAGCCAGAGCAGGTGGTGCACGTGTGGGTTCAAGGCTGTTCTTGTACATCTAGGGGGATACTTGTGGGTGGATTCCAGGTGACTTCAGGTTGAGTTTGCAAACCCAGTGGTGTCATTCTGTTCCTCTACAGCACCATAAAGGCTCACTTCCCCACAGCAGAGTAAGCCCAAGGTTGACCTTAAGGAAGGGCAGCTCTGTTTGTGCATTGGAGTAGAGTGGCCAAGCAGTGGTTCAGATGGGATGGGTGCATTGCTGCTCAGACTATCCAAACACAGACCAGGCTGCTTTGACTTGGCCTATGTCCGCGTAAATTGAAGCCTCCAAGACATTTCACTTTGGCTGCAGGCAGAACGGAGCCACATGCAGCCTAGATCCTGGTGCCCTTACACAGAGATAAGCTCTTTGACCTGGTCACTGTATATTTCTTCTGGCCACTCTTTGCCCTATTGAGGTCAGAGGATGCTTCTGGGTGGATACCCAGTGTGTTGCAAAGGCCCTGACGTGTCCATGGAGTCTTCGTCTGCACTCTGCTTTGGCAGGAATCAGTCGCTGCAGGAATCAGGACCGCTCTGCTACTTAACTAACATCCTTGCTCTCCTGCTTCAATCCAAAGGGAAGGGCACAGAATAGGCTGAATAGCTGATGCTGTGAGGATCAACAGGCACAGACTGGGGTGGACCTTTTACTCCACTGTGCCCAGGGTTGGCGCTGGGCTGTCCTGTTGGGGTTGTAGTTAGACCAGCCTTCCCCAGAACCTCACTTGGAGGGAAGTAAAAAAAAGACATCCCACCCTGTACTCAAAACTTAAAACAGTACTGCTTGGATCCGTTCCTCCACTTCCTGACCCTAGAGGGTTAAATCTGGAGGGTACAAAGCCACCCCTTCCTCCTACTTCCCGCCTCTCCCCAACCGCCCCCTTACCTTTAAAAAGTTAAAAAATGTCTGCAGTGGAAATCTCTTAAAGGGGCGGTGCTGGTGAACGAGTACTCTTGGCACGAGTTGCTGAGAAGGCTGGCTAGGGGCGTGAGTTCGCTCCACCAAGCACCAAAACACAGAAGAAAAAAAAGGAGAAAAAAAAAGAGAGAGAGAAAGAGAGAGAGCAAGGGGGGGGGGGAGGGAAAAAAAAGGGGGGGAAAGCAGACAGACACACACTTTAGATAAGGACAATTAGTCACCAGCGAGACCCTGTAGGGGGAGAGGTTTAAATCAGAGGGATTTAATGAGGGTGCTCTGTGCCTTCCCTGAAGCCATGCCCTCCAGCAACTCCCGCCCCCCCTCGTGCCTAGCCCCGGTGGCTCTCTTCTTGGCTCTGTTGCTCCATCTATTCCTTTCCTCCCAAGCTGGAGACAGGAGACCCTTGCGTGTAGACAGAGCTCCAGGTTTGAAGGAAAAGACCCTGATTCTACTTGATGTGAGCACCAAGAACCCAATCAGGACAATCAATGAGAACTTCCTCTCTCTGCAGCTGGACCCGTCCATCATTCATGATGGCTGGCTCGATTTCTTAAGGTAAGGCAGGGGCTTCCATGGATCATTTTTTAAAAAAGTAACAACCCCCACCCTTCCTATCTCCTATTCCAAGGGGGAAGAAGAAAATAAGCCAAGCGGATCTCTCAAAGAGAAGAAAGGAGGTTTCCTCCTCCTGGAATATTTGCTGTGCGGCTGTAACTGGTGATTGAGAAAAGCAATGTTTTCTATTAAGATGCACATGTTTGCAATGCAGAAGGCATTTCAGAAACTTATCAGTTATGACTGAAGAAATGTTGTGCTTACATATATCTACAATTAGTCTACCCATCTCCTTTTGAAAAAGAGATGAGCCTCAGGACAGTTACAAAAGTTAAGAAAAGGTCTCCAGCAACAAAGACCCGAGAGGAATGTATGTATGTATGTGTGTGAGAGAGTGCGTGTCGCGTGTGTGTCTGTGAGTGTTCAAGTGGGGAATAGCACGAAAATGGAATTTTCCACAGAAAGATAGTTTTGTCAGTTCTCTCCAACTCCCGGACAGAAAATGAATTTAAGCAGAGGCTTTGAGCGATAGACAAGTGGGTCAGATTTTTAAATTTTTATTTTACACCCTCCACTGTCATTTCGACTGGAGGACTTTGTCGGATGCTTTATATAGACCGAAGGGCTCCCCTCCCCCGTCCCTCCTCCTTAAATCTCCTGCGGTAACTGCATAGTTTAGTTTTTCTTTAAAGAAAAAAAAAAAAATCCTCGCTCTGATCATAGCGTATATAAGGATAGCGGAAAGGGTTCTAGAAATACTCCGGAGATGTTTCAGAAGTCTGAACCCGGCACTGGCGGATTAAACCCCGAGGCTCTTGTTCACAGACCCCCTTTCTCTAGGGCTTGGACTCTCTCTCGCCGGTTGTTAATGCTCAGCAGTTAGGAAACCACGATCCCTTCCCATCAGGGACAGAGACGCAGTGTAAAAAAAAAAAAAAGAAAGAAATAAACAAATAATCTGTAGTGCTGAATCCAAGTGCTGAGTTTTTAAAAATCCCTCCAAATTGGAGGCTCCGCTGTGGGCTCACCCAGAGAGTCTTGAGCGCTCCGAGTCTCCTTTCTCCGCCCTGAGGCCGGACCGCTGCGCTGCTTTCGTGAGTATCTTGGACTCCTCGCGAAATTCGAGTTTTGCTTCTCGTGTGCGCCCGCCCCTCACCCAACCCTCTGGGTCTCCTCAGGACTCTGCCGGGTCAGCGGAGGCGCAACGTGGGCTCTCCTTCCACATGGAGCAAACCTGGCGTGAGGACTGAGTGGCTGTGCCGCCGCCTCCGAGGCCGCTCCGGTGGCTGCCCGCGTCTCCGCGGAGGCGGGAGCTGCTCCGCGCCGCCTGGCGTCCTTTCCCTGAAGCAGAACGGGTCTCTGCGCTGGTCCCCAGGTGGGGGGCGACCGGGGTTTGCCGAGATACACGCCCCACTTGCATTGCACTTACCCAGCTGCGCAGACTCCTTCAGGATTAAAAAAAAAAAAAAAATCCCGTTTGTGCCAAATGCTTGCCACAGAAAAGATTCTGGAAGGCGGCATTGGGGGAAGAAGCCGTGGCGGGGCGTATTTGCATTGGCTGTGCAGGCTTCCGGGCAGACCGTTGCTGGAAATGCCGATTCCGCAGGTCGGACTTCTCTGCCCGCGGAGGGCCACGCGATGTCCGACTGCGCTTTCCTGGAACGAAGTCCTAGAGTTCGCCGCCGCCAGACGACCCCGGGCGGCCAAGACTTCTCAGAATGTCCCTAAGCGGAATCCCCGGTCCCCTCTCTCACATCTGTCTTCTTTATGATACTCTTTAGTTTCTCCATTTGGGTGTGGATTTTCAGAACCTGAGCCAGCCAAGTGTTAAAAATAACGTATAGTAGCAAGAGCATCTACAATTGCTCTTTTCCCACCTCTTTCCGAAGTAGCAGCGCTTGTGTTAAAAAAAAACAAACAAACAAACCCACAACAAAACCAAAAACTAAGGAAATCCTGAACCCAAATCGAGGTAAATGTTATTGTTCTGGTGCTCCTCCGACGCGCAGGTTCCAACTTTCCGCAAACTTCACTTTTCCCATGGCTCCTGAAAGGCTCCAAGTGGGAAGGAAAAAGATGGAGCCCCACTGGGAGGAGGAGAGAATACCTTTCTGAGGTCACTCTGCATTACTGGAGGGGTCAAAGAAATACTGCCTTTCCTGTGCAAAGCCGGGGTGGAGGTATTCACAGAAAAGCAAGGATTTACCCCGGGAATCTCCCTCGATCTGGTCTCTGGGAGGTGGATGCGGTTGCTCTAAAGCAGTGGAAAAGCAAAATCAATTTAGGTATTAAAAAACCAAGTTAGAGTCAATTTGACCTCAGGTGCCTGGTCTGAGAGAAAGAAAGAGAAAGAAGATGGGTTTAACTTTCTCTACTGAAGTTGCGGTGCCCTTGGGGCCGAGGAGGCAGATCCCGGGGTTCAGCAGAAGTTTGGCAAAAAGCGGAGCCCCGCTGCACGCGCGCTGCGCATCTCCTTCAGGAGCGCTTTCCCGACAGCAGCAAAGCCGGGCAACTGCGCCTTAACCCCGTGTTCTCAGCGGTGTCCCCCCACGCCCTTACACACTCTTAAGGAACACAAGCCCTTTGGAAATTATACCTTTGGCGAGCAGCGTCGGGCTGTCCGAGGGAGGGGTCCGTGGCCAGCTGGGCGCAAAGGCAGGCTTGGGCCAAGGGCAGGGGCTACAGGCGCACGCTAGAGGCCGCGGAGCTGCCAGGAGCCCATGCAGTCCGCAGGTTGTGACGGACACCGAGCCTCTGAGCCTGGGCCAGGTCGCTTGCAGAGAGTAGAAAGAGGGCCTTGCTGGGTGCTCCTGGCCTCCCGCCTTCCCTCGGGATCCTTTCCTCTCTCTTTCTCTACCCCGCAGCTCCAAGCGTCTGGTGACCCTGGCCCGGGGACTTTCGCCGGCCTTTCTGCGCTTCGGGGGCAAAAGGACTGACTTCCTGCAGTTCCAGAACCTGAGGAACCCGGCGAAAAGCCGCGGGGGGCCCGGCCCTGATTACTATCTGAAAAACTATGAGGATGGTGAGAAACTTGCTTCCCATTCTTGCAGGGTGGGGGAAGTTTGGAAAGTGGGAGCGAGCTGTGTGTGGACCGGGTTGGTGGAGGTAGATTTGGAGGAGAGCCTAGAAGAAGCTCCCCTGAAAAGCTGATAGCTGCAGGTGAGGGCAAGCCAGAGTGTGGAACTCCCGACTGATTACGCAAAAGGGGCTTTCAGGTAGTCCAGGTCCCAGCTGCTTGCCTCCCTCTGGGCTGCTAAATCCCAAGGCCATGTGTAGCTCAAACTTCTGGAAGGCAAGTCCAGTGGGGAGAAGATGCAGTGGTTTCTTGAGAAAATACAGGCGGGTTCATAGGCTACTAAAAGTCAGGTTCACATTTCATTGCTAAAATTCTAGAAAAAAGTGCCTGTTGTTTTTATTTCTTGCTTTCCTGAGGTGAGAATTCAGCCTTTTTTTTGAAACCTACCCTAAAGTTTTCTGAAATAATCCCTTTTAGATTGGTCCCTTATTAGGGAAGGTTTGAAAGTCTCCACAGTCAGTTCTCCTTTAGACTGCCTAATCTCAGAGTAACATTAAAAATAAAATTAAAATGGGATTATAAATGCCAGCCTTCCTTCCTGCCAGGATCAGATGAGCTAAGTGACTGGCTTTGAAAATTCCAGATCCTGTTCCAGTGTGAGGTGGACCAGTCTTTTTAGGTTTGAATAGTTGCATTTTCAGTAGGAAAAAATGGTATTTAAAATTTCTGTTTAGGGGGTTTGGTGTTAATATCTATGAACTTCCTGTGTGGGTAAAGGGACATACTTTTTTTTCATACAGGCAAGATGGGAATTGGCGGGTCCTCAGCCACTGAGACTGTTTAGATTAGATAGAAGAGGCATTAGTGTCCATTTTTGGAGGACCATCTCTGTCCTGCTGTTCCTTCTCATAAGTGAGTTACAGTTTTATTTTTAAAGGGTACAAGGACAGTTTCTCATAGCTCCCTGGATTTTGTTACACCTTGTCTTTATAAATCAGCAAAACGAGAAAATGCTGTTGTATTTTCTGGAGCTTTCACTGGATGGGAATTCTGGAGAGGTACTGGGATTTATTTCAAGGGTGGCTGAGAAACTTTTTTTTAAAAGTGTCAAAATGGAAAAAGAGAACAAGGCTGAGAATTCTTGAGTTTGAAGTGTGAATAGTACTTCTTCTTTTATAACATCTGCCAAAGTGTGTAGATATTTAAGGCTATATGTTTTCAAAGGTAAATGTCATTGCCATAAAGATTAGATTGCAAGTAGATTTTGCTGTCATTCAGCATAAAATCCTGAACAGCAGCTCTGTTGGTAATTTGACCCAGGACCTTATAGCTCCCAGGGTCACTGTCAGCTCTTGTGACAAGAAGGGAAAATATTAATGCTTTCCTGATGAAATAGCTCTTCTTTGAATCCATTTGAAATATTTCCTCTTTAGTTTGTAGGAAAACTTGTAAGAGACCCAGGAACCATTGGGGGAAATGACCATTTATAAGATATAGGAATTGGCCTTTTTCTCCAAAAGTTGTACCTAGGATTACATTACTGATTCATTGAGAACATGAGATCATCTTCAAATGAAGGATACAATTTGTTTCCCTTTGTAAAAGGAGAAAGTGGGTACCATGGGGAGAAAAGAAATTGACAAAAGACCGTGCCCCATAAAACTTCATAGAATTTTAAAAAATCAGAATTGGAAAAGACCTAAGTGATCATCTTCAATTCTCCCACCATTTCAGGGGCCATCCAGTACAGGATCATTCCATATGGAATCCTTTTCTTGTTTTGTCCAACCTGGCATTAAATATCTCTAGGAATATAGTTTTCACCATTTCTATAGTAGAGAGTTCTTCTGTCCCATAGGGTTTTGCCAGCAAATTTATCCTGAGATTTTCCTTTATACATATTGCCTAAATAGTTATAATTACTCATTTTGTATTTTTTAGATTTCTACCTTTAAAATAATTTCTGTCCTTTGCATATTACTTTCAAAAAAAGAGGTTTTGTCGTAGCTGTTTTTTATCTAGACTACTTGGATTTAATTCTTTTAAAACTTTCTTTAAAGTCAGTCCTTTCAGACACTGATCTATTTTATTGCTCCTAGCTGCACTTCTTTGATTTATGTCTCTTGGAAATAAGATGCTCTGAACTATATCACTATTTGAGTCCTTAGCAGAGTTAAAGAGAGTGGGAATGCCCTATTTCTGCCCTTTGATGCGTACATATCCTTAAGTCACCATATTGTCCTTATTGTTGCATATGGCATTCCAGAATTCAAAGCAAAATTGTTTTAGGTATAGTCTCAGCAATTTTGAAAAATTATACTTTAGTTGTTACTTTTCATTCAGTGATAATTTTCATCTTAAAATAATTAGGTCTTCTTAGTAAATGGCTCTATAATAAGTACTTAAGCATAAGCACCTTATTTAAAAAAAGATGTACTGACTTAAACATTTTGTATAATAATAGTCATGTAGTTTCTATTTTCCAAATAATTTTTAAGTACTTTAATGCAACTATGTTTTCTCTTTCTACAGCCATTGATTATCACTTTTGGAACTTCTTTGGTTACTCCTTTAATATACTCTATGCTTAGGCAACTTAAATTTTATAGAAACATGGTGATGATGGAGAAAATAAAAATTGGATTTTTCTTTATACCTTGGAATCTTCCTTTGCCTAATTTTCTCTCTGTCCTGTGATGTTATGCTTTTCTTGCTCTCAACAAAGAAATTTGGGTTAATTTTTTGTTCATAAGTTTGTTTTGCTCCAATCTGTCCTTTTTGGTTACATATTCTGTGTGCTTTCTTTATATACCTGCCTCTTTGCTGCGCATAACCATACCTTCAATCAAGTTGTATACCATTTATTATGCACATCAAAACCCAGCTTAATATTTCTAAAATATCACAGTCATCATATCATCCTTTAAAAACATTTTTTCCAATTACAGTTGATATAACAATATTATATTAGTGTCAGGTATATCATGTCACTCTTTTGCTAAAACAATGATTATTTTTGGATTGCTTACATAAATGTTTAAACTCCTCAACTTGGCATTCAAGGCCTTTTACATTTAAACCTCAGCTTATCTTCTGTAACTTGTGTTTCAATATACCTTTTTATGCAACCCTACTTAATTTCACTGTCTTCTTAAAGCACTGTCTAAACCCCGTACCTATGATCAGTTGGTGTATCTCTGCTCTGAATCCCTCTCTTTCGGCTTTATTCAAATCTCACTCCCTACCCTGCCCAATTCATGAAGGCCTGTTGCAAATGCCCCTTATTTCCACAAAGCCTTTAGTGAACAAGGCATTCCATAACCATCTCTTCCTTCTCTGGATCGTGGTAGCTTTTGCTCTTTATGCTGTTCTTTTGGCCCTCTCTACTTTCTTTTGCGTTTTTACTTTTCATACAGGTATTTGTTTGTTTTAACTTTCCAAGTGGCTCCTTTGGCTGACGCAACATCCCGCACATACACAAAAAAAGTTGGTGCGTTTGTTCCTGGTTGGGGCACATGCCTAGGTTGTGGGTTTGGTCCACAGTCGGGGTGTATGTGGGAGGTAACTGATTGATATTTCTCACATTGATGTTTCTCTAAAACAATCAAAAGCATATCTTTGGTTGAGGATTAAAAAAAAAAGAATGCACATTATTTATAGGAAGGGATCATATCTAATTATTGTGGATCCCCAAATATCTAGCATAATGTATGACACATAGTAAAACTTTAGCAAACATTTTTAGATACATAAAAGGTTAAAAGCACTGTTAAAGGCACTGGGAAAATGGAGGAGACCAGTGAAGAAAAGAATTAATATAAACATGAAGATTCTATTCATTTTTCATCTTCAATGCATGTTCCCAGGAAGTCCACTTTTAATGCTTAGTTTAATGACATTCTTCATTTTCGTAGCCATGTACTCTTTATCTTTGGTAGTATAAGTTGTCTTGATTTCATGTGCTGTGTTAAATCAACCTTACCACTTGGTTTAAAGCCTTGTACTGGACTTCACTATTATTTTTTATTGTATCTGTTTGTTCTGTGCTTTTACTTTTGCTTTTTCTTGTTAGTCTTATGTAGTTGCTATGTCTAACTTTTCAATTCCTGATTTAACAGTCCCTTTCACAAGTTTATTATTTTTGTCTCTATTTCCTGAAGATTTTCTCTTCAGAGAGCTTTTGAAATCATAAATGATCAGTGTGAGTACACTTTGTAAACTCTAAGGCACTATACAACTATTATTATTATTATTGCTCTTTTCTCCAGGAACTTTTCCTACTTTTAGTAGAGGTGAGGTAATTAATTCCTTTTCTTTCTATCCCCATTCCATTAATGAAGACATATGACATAAGAATAGTACAACTGCCAAAATATATATTTACCTTGAACGTATTCACCTTCCATTATCTCATTTTACTTCACCTAAATGTTTCTTGAAATTCAATTATACTTAACAAGTATTTATATAAAAAGAACAAATATTTATTTATTATCTACTTTGTGTTTAGTTCCATGGTGAACAAGGAATGGCAGAATATCAAATAAAAAATACTGTCCTAAATCACCATTAGAAAACAACAGTAAAAACTGCTGTAGGTAAGATTTACTAATCAGTGTTAAGAAAAGGAGCCCAGCTGGTGTGGCTCAGTGGTTGAGCATGGACCCAGGAACCAAGAGATTGTGTTTGATTCCCAGTCACACTGTCTCAATCCCGAGTAGGGGGCATGCAGGAGGCAGCTGATTGATGATGTTCCTCTCTCATCAATGTTTCTATCTCTATCCCTATCCCATCCCCCCTCTCTCTCTCTCTGAAAGAAAAACATCAATTAAAAATAATTTTTAGCCGAGACCGGTTTAGCTCAGTGGATAGAGAGTCGGCCTGCGGACTGAAAGGTTCCGGGTTTGATTCTGATCAAGGGCATGTACCTTGGTTGCAGGCACATCCCCAGTAGGGGGTGTGCAGGAGGCAGCTGATTGATGTCTCTCGCTCATCAATGTTTCTAA